TGCAGAGGTTTCTGCTGCCTTTTGTTTGCCTATGCCCTGTCCCCAGAGGTGGAGTCTACAGAGGCAGGCAGGCCTCCTTGAGCTGCGGTGGGCTCCACCCAGTTCGAGCTTCCCAGGGACTTTATTTACCTACCTAAGCCTCAGCAATGGCAGGCCCCCCTCCCCAGCCTTGCTGCTGCCTTGCAGTTAGATCTCAGACTGCTGTGCTAGCAATGAGGGAGGCTCCATGGGCATGGGACCCCCCGAGCCAGGCGCAGGATATAATCTCCTGGTGTGCCGTTTGCTAAGACCCTTTGTAAAGCACAGTATTAGGGTGGGAGTGACCCGATTTTCCAGGTGTTGTGTGTCACGGTTTCCCTTGTCTAGGAAAGGGAATTCCCTTCTCCCTTGCGCTTCCTGGTTGAGGCGGTGCCTTGGGCTCTCGCTTGTTGGGCTGCACCCACTGTCCTGCACCCACTGTCTGACACTCCCCAGTGAGATGAATCTGGTACCTCAGTTGGAAATGTAGAAATCACCCGTCTTCTGTGTCACTCACGCTGGGAGCTGGAGGCTGGAGCTCTTCCTATTCAGCCGTCTTGGAACTGCCCCCTATTAGGTGATTTTCTTTTTTTTTTTTTTTTTTGAGACGGAGTCTCGCTCTGTCACCCAGGCTGGAGTGCAGTGGCCGGATCTCAGCTCACTGCAAGCTCCGCCTCCCGGGTTTACGCCATTCTCCTGCCTCAGCCTCCTGAGTAGCTGGGACTACAGGCGCCCGCCACCTCGCCCGGCTAAGTTTTTTTTGTATTTTTAGTAGAGACGGGGTTTCACTGTGTTAGCCAGGATGGTCTCGATCTCCTGACCTCGTGATCCGCCCGTCTCGGCCTCCCAAAGTGCTGGGATTACAGGCTTGAGCCACCGCGCCCGGCCAGGTGATTTTCTTTAGTAGTATACTTATATTCCTTACTTTTTACCTTTTATGAATCTACTTTAGGCTTTGCTTTGTGGTTACTTTACACTTATTCCACACCCGCCACAAACATATTCTGTATTTTTAGTGTCACAATTTACATATTTTGTATTATATATCCCTTAACAAATTATTGTAGCTATTATTTTTAGCAGTTTTGTATTTTGACCTTAATACTAAAGATAAAAGTGATTTACTTACCACCATTTACAGTATCATGATATTCTGAATTTGATACGTGCTTACCATTACCAGTGAGGTTTATCAGGTGTTTTGTTTGTTTGTTTTGAGATAGAGTCTCATTCTGTCACCCAGGCTGGAGTGCAGTGGTTGATCTTAGCTCACTACAATCTCTGCCCCCCAAGCTCAAGTGATTTTCCTACCTCAGCCTCCCAAGTAGCTGAGACTACTGGCATGTAACACCATGCCTGGCTAATGTTTGTATTTGTCTGTTTTTGGTGGAGATGGGGTTTCAGCATGTTTCTTTTTTTTTTTTTTTTTTTGAGTTGGAGTCTTGCTCTGTCGCCCAGGCTGGAGTGCAGTGGCCGGATCTCAGCTCACTGCAAGCTCCGCCTCCCGGGTTTACGCCATTCTCCTGCCTCAGCCTCCCGAGTAGCTGGGACTACAGGCGCCCGCCACCTCGCCCGGCTAGTTTTTTGTATTTTTTTTTTTTGTAGAGACGGGGTTTCACCGGGTTAGTCAGGATGGTCTCGATCTCCTGACCTTGTGATCCGCCCGTCTCGGCCTCCCAAAGTGCTGGGATTACAGGCTTGATCCACTGCGCCCGGCCAATTTCAGCATGTTTCTAAGGCTTCCAGTGAGTTTTATACTTTCGTGTTTTTGTGTTGCTAATTAGCATCCTTTTCTTTCAACATGAAGCACTCTCTTTAGCATTTCTTGTAAATTTATCACCATCAGACCTGTCTAAGAAATATAAGACAGGTCTCGTGGTGATAAACTCCCTTGGCTTTTATTTCTCTGGGAAAGTCTTTATCTTTCCTTGATTTCTGAAGAATAGTTTTGCTGGGTATAGTCTTCTTAGTTGACAGGGTTTTTTTTCATTCAACATTTTGAATTTATCATCCTGTTCTCTCCTGGCCTATAAGATTTATAATGTGAAATCCACTGTCAGCCTTATTGGAAGTCCGTTATATATTACTTGCTTTTTTGCTCTCACTGCTTTTACAATCCTTCTTTGTCTTTAATTTTTGATAGTTTGATTATAATATGTCTTGGTGTAGTCTTATTTGGACTGAATGTTATTGGAAGCCATTTGTCTTCCTATTTTCAAATAGCTCATTTTTGAGTTCACATATTCTGTCTTCTGCTTTTCAGTTCTGCTGTTGATGCTCTATATTGCAGTTTCATTTGATTCATTATATTTTTCAGCTCCAGGATTTCTTTTGATGTTTTTTAAAAACATAATTTCAATCTCTTAAATTTGTTTGGAATATTTATTGTTTTCCTGATTTTGTTAAATTGTTTCTCTATATTTTCTTAATGTTTGCTAAACTTTCTTAAAACAATTATTTTGAATTATTTGTGAAGCAGGTCATGAATATCCATTTCTTTAGGGTTGGTTACTGGTCCTTCATTTTGTTCTTTGGGTGGGATCAAGTTTCCCTGATTGTTCTTGATTCTTGTGGCCATGCTTTGGTATCTGAACATGTGAAAAAGTAGGGACTTACTCCAGTCTTTGCAGATTGGCTTTGCCTGGGAAAGCCCTTCATCATTCAGCCTGTCCAGAGATTCGGGACAGGCTGTCTTGTGTGGTTCATGAATGAGCTTGGTGCTAGAGTCCTCAGGCAGGCTGGCCTGGTGCATAGGTCAGCAGGTGAGCTGACCCGGTGCCTGGGTCCTTAGGGTTGAGCTTGGAGCCTGGTGCCATTGGAGTGGACCTGTTGATTGGGACCACAGGGGTGGGCCTAGAGCCTGTATCTGTGGGGGCCAGCCTGAAGCCTAAGTACACAGGGACTGACCTTGTGATGGGATAGGCCTTGAGCCTGAATCTGCAGGGAATGGTTAGTCATTGGGATTGACCTGGCACCTGTGTGCAAGTTGATGGGCCTGGAGCCTGAGTCCACAGGGGTTGGTCTGGTATTGGAGCAGACCTGGAGCCTTAGTTTATGGGGATTGGGCCAGGGCCCTGGGTCCACAAGGGCTGGCCTGGAATGTGGGTATATAGGGATGGTCCTGGAGTCTCAGTCCATGGGGGCCAAGCTGTTACTGGCATCTATTGGAGTGGGTCTGGACCTCAGATCTGCTGGAGCAGGCCTAGACTTTGGTTTCACTGAAGTCTGTGGCATGGGACTGGCCTGGAGCCTGGGCTGGCCTGTTCCTGGGCAGGCACGGAGCCTGGGTCTGTGGGTGATGGTCTAGAACCTGGATATGCAGTACTGCCCCAGAGGGTGTAGGTCTGTGAGGGCTAGCCTGGGTACTAGGGCAATGAGGGCCAGCCTGTGACCTGGGTCCACGGGGGCTATCCTGGAGTCTGGATTTGTGGGAGCCAGCTCAGTACTGGGTCTACTGGGATGGGCCTGGGGGCTGCTAGAGCTGGCCTGAAATGTGGGGCCACAGGGACTGGTGTGAAACCGAGCAGGCCTAGAGCCTGTGTCTGCAGGTGCTGGCCCAGTGCCTGAGGCCAGGGGTACTGACCTGGTGCTAGGGCAGGCCTAAAGCTCTGGGCTGTGTGGACTAACTTGGCTGTGAGCTGGGCTGGAGCCTGGGGCGGACCTGGAGGCTGGGTCTGCTGGTATAGGCCTGATAACTAAGGCTGTCAGGCCGACCTGGTGCTAGGGCAGACCTGAAGCCTGGATTCATGCCCCAGCCAGTTCTGGGGGAAGTCTAGAGCCCTGGGCCACCAAGGCTACCCTGGCTCTAGGATGGGCCTGGAGATTGAATCTGCAAGGCGGGCCTGAAGCCTGAGACTGTAGGGGCTGGGCTCGTGTTAGGGTGGGCCCAGAGCCCATGACTGCTGGGGCTGGCCTGGCACTAGGGCCAGAGTCTGGGGCTGCTAAGGTCCGTCTGGCTAGGAGGCAGATCTGGAGCCTGGGGCTGTGGGGTATGTCCTGGCACCAGGGAGGCTAGAGGCTTAGTCTGAGGGTAGCCACCAGGAGTTTGGGAGCCTTCCAGGCACTGAGTTTTACTGGGGTGGGCCTGGATTCAGGGTCTAAGGCAAAGTCCAGCCCTCACTTCCCTCTCCTGCCCCCATGAGTGTAACTCTCTCCATGTGTACCACCTGGAGTTGGGGGAGGGGTGATATGGGTAAGGGGAAACTGTCTTCCTACCCTCTGTAGGTAACCTTTTCTTTACCCCTGTGCTATGCCCAGCTGCTGTAATCTCTCATTTGGTTTACTTAGCTCTTGTGAAGGTATTTTTGCCTGTGGATAATTGTTCAAATTGATGTTTCTGCTGGGGAGCAAGTGCTGGGGAGTCCTGTTCTGCCATCTTGCTGATGCCGTAAGGGTTTTCTTGATCTTGTTTCTTGTTCTGCTGCACGTTTCTCCTGTAGTAACCTTTATCACACTTTGAGCTGTAACTTTATACTTAATTATTGGTTTTCTCAGCAGACTGGCCCTAGCTCCTTGAGGTCACAGACCTCAGCAGCTGGAACAGGGACTAGAACATGGTAGGCATTTGATAAGTAATTGTTGGATAAACAGTTTGTATTTTATAATTGTGGAAACTGGGCCTTAGAAAGGTGTTAAGTAACTTGTCCCAAGCTTCTCAGCTGGTAAGTTTCAGAGGCTGCTGCCTTTTTTTTTTTTTTTAATGAAGTTTCACTGTGTTGCCCAAACTGGTCTTGAACTCGTGGACTCAAGTAATACTCCCGTCTTGGCCTCCCAAAGTGCTGGGATTACAGTCATTATTCACTGCATCCAGCTAAGATTTCCTATCGCTGCCTTTCCTATCCTTGTCTTTTACACTCCCAGAGTTCTTGGGTTTTTTTCCACTGTATCACTCACATGAGTCCCCAAACATGCTTCCAGATCTGGGTCTGTACCTCCTGGGTCTTTCTTGCTTTTGACACTTCTGTCTTTGTGCTTTCTTCTAGTGTGGTCCAGGTCCTGCTTGCTGCCGGGGCTGATCCAAACCTTGGAGATGATTTCAGCAGTGTTTACAAGACCGCCAAGGAACAGGGAATCCATTCTTTGGAAGGTAAGTGTGGGCTGTCCTGCTTCTCTGAGAGCTCTCCTCTTGTGTCTTTCATGCAGTCTTGCTCTGTGGTGTCAGCTCTACCAGCAACTCAGAGTGAAAGCCTGCATGTTCTTTACCTCTGTGGACTCATGAAGAACTCAAAGGGCTCGGAACAGCTGCTTTTCACAGTCCCTTGGCTCTAACTTTATGTCACTTTAAAGTTACATGGGGAAAGAAATAGAGGCCTGATTTCATGACCTAATTGGGGGTAGGAAGTACATTTCAACTGATGTTTTCCTGAAAGTGCTTCAGCCTGTAGAGCTGCAGATGAGTGGACAACGGAGCACCTTTCAGTAAAATAATTAAGGCAACTGCGTGGAATGTGGATTTGTTCCTCTCCTATTTCCTGCAGACTTACCTTGCCCCATTCCTGCCCCAGAACTAGACAACAGCCTTACTGGATTCCTCAGCCTCAGAATTCCCTAAATAATACTATTCTGAATACTGCTTTTCCTCCCTCGTAAACGTAAAATGCAATCCTGCCTCTGGGACTATCCCCTCAGCTTGCTCTATGATCTAGGACAAATAGTGGACCTTCTCTGTGCCTTGATGTCTATCCTTATAAAATGAGGTCATCATCAGTGCCTTCTCTGGGATGTCTGGGATGTTGTGTTGGTGGTGGTTTGAACTTCAGAATGAAGAGGCTGTGGGGTGAGTCTTGGAGACTGAATGTGCAAGGTGGATGTTTGAGTTTGCACTAGGGCTTGATCATGTGTCTGTTAGAGGGTACCTCAGCAAGTCAGTCTATGTTGTGTCTGGTGAGTACTTCATCCAAAGTGGGGTTGAAAAAAAAGCTGGTTGCTTTGGCTGCAGTCAGAAATGAGTATTTTACATTTGAGCTTTTGTTTATCCAGACTGTCCCCACTGCTTTCCCCTTGTCCTGGACCATTCACAGAGGCTGAGATCCCTCTGAGATTGCCAGCAATGGGGTGGCTGAGCAGTGGCTGCTTTAGTGTTAGCAGTGATGCCAGGAGGACAGACAGCCTCTCTGACTACCCGAGAGCCAGAACATTGACCTAGGGGGAAGTTCAGCCAAGGGGAGCAGTGTGCTCAGCCTTCAGAGCTGTAAGGCCGCGAGACTGACATGGTATGTGGTAACTCAGAGTAGCGGTGTTGTTGCTGCCCCAGGGAGAAGGTTTCTCAAATCAGTGGCATGAGAGGAGTATCCAAGAGCATTAAGGCATTGCTGCCCAGGTAAAGTGTGAAGTTACCCTCTTCCTTCCCTTTCACCTCTCTAAACCTAGTCCTTCTCTTAAGGCTCCATTGCTAACGCTAGATCCTCCACAAAGGCTTCCCTGTCCTTGACAATAGTTGCAACCTGCCCTCAGCTGCTCTTTTGAATGTTCTCTAGATCTTGGCCTTTTGTATGGTTATTTGACCTCTCATCTACCCATATGTCCTTTCTTTCCTCCTCATGTGCAGGCCACAATCTTTGTGTCCTTGGATTCCCCACTGAGCTGGAGGAATTGTGTTTATGTTTTAAACAGAGAATTTCATGAGTACCCCCTTGCCCTCTATTTGCAGCCTGATATGTGGGGACTCAGCTTATGGGCTATCCTGTTCTCATTCAGGCGCAGCATTGCAGTGCTCAGCTCTGTCTTCAGTTTAGGTGCTGATATGGTTTGGCTGTGTCTCTATTCACATCTCAACTTGAATTGTATCTCCCAGAATTCCCATGTGTTGTGGGAGGGACCTAGTGGGAGGTAATTGAAACATGGGGGCCAGTCTTTCCCATGCTATTCTTGTGATAGTGAATAAGTCTCTTGAGATCTGATGGGTTTGTTAGGGGTTTCCCCCTTTTGCTTCATCCTCATTTTTCTCCTGCCGCTGCCATGTAAGAAGTGCCTTTTACCTTCTGCCATGATTCTGAGGCCTCCCCGGCCATGTAGGACTGTAAGTCCAATTAAACCTCTTTTTGTTCCCAGTTTCAGGTATGTCTTTATCAGCAGTGTGAAAATGAACTAATATAGGTGCTCTCACCAAAAAGCAAAGTGGAGCATTTGTTGAGAGGGCAGGGCCAGGTAGACAGGAGGGGGTTCTTTTGAGTGCCTTCTCATCTGCTGTCAGGATTCTAGCAGGGCTCATTAAACGTTTTTTTTTATTTCACAGAATCTCAGAGCTATGAAGCCATCTATCTAGTCCAACTTCTGCTGTCACACTGGTCTCCACGATATACATTCATGTTTTGTTTTGCTTTTTTGAGACGGAGTCTCGCTCTGTCGCCCAGGCTGGAGTGCATTGTCGAGATCTCAGCTCACTGCAAGCTCCGCCTCCTGGGTTCACACCATTCTCCTGCCTCAGCCTACCCAGTAGCTGGGACTACAGGCGCCCACCACCACGCCTGGCTAACTTTTTGTATTTTTAGTAGAGACGGGGTTTCACTGTGTTAGCCAGGATGGTCTCGATCTCCTGGCCTCATGATCTGCTCGCCTCGGCCTCCCAAAGTGCTGGGATTACAGGCGTGAACCACCGCGCCCGGCCACATTCATGTTTTGTAGCTTTGTGTTTTAATGGTAACCTCCAGGGTGATACTCACATTCAACATTCTAGATCAGTAGTCAGCAAACTTTCTAGAAAGAGCCAGATAGTAAACATTTAAGCTTTGTGGGCCAGTTGATCTCAGTTGTGACTACTTACCTTGACCATTGTGATACAAAAGTAGCCATAAACAGTAAACAAATCTATGTGGCTATGTTTCAAGAAAACGTTATTTATAAAAACACACAGCCTGCTGGATTTGGCCCAGAGGCTGTAGTTTGCCAGCCCTGCTCCACATGATTTTTTTTTGCATTCCTAGTTCAAGGTTATATAATTTATTTTTCTTAGTTTTTTTTCTTTCTTCTTTTCTTTTCTTTTCTTTTTTCTTTTCTTTTCTTTTCTTTTCTTTTTCCTGGCCAACCTCTGGATTATTTTTAACTCTTATGCCAGACAGCCTACATTGTGGGTAGGTAGGTAGATAGGGAGAGATAGACAACAAAAATATTCGAAAAGGCTATCATGTCCGCTTATGAAATAACAATTAAAATATTAACCATCTCTTCTTATTTCATATGATCTGCAAATTTAGTAGTAGGCTTTCTGTGGATTCACTTATTTATTCAAAAGTATTTATTGATCACTACCTGTGTACCAGGTAGTGTTTTAAGCACTGATGAGTTAGACAGACAAGATCCCCTGCCATCATGCTTTTACTTGGATTAAAATGTTTATAAGGACTTTATTAAATACAGAGTCCTAGAGCACATGATGAAGATAATTTTGATGCATTATTCAGCATTCTCAGGTGTAATTCTATCAACTTTCATTCTTTTCCATCCTCCGTTCCTCTGCTTTGTTCACAAAATTTTAAGAGCTTTTTCCCCAGATTTCTTGCTAAAATTAAAATGTTTCTAGCATTTGTCTTATTTTCTTGTCTAATAACCCTTTCCAGAAAAGGAAATCAGGTTATTCTGGCATGTTGATTTATTGTTCTTAGGGAACCCATACTGGTACCCAGTAATTACCCAAGTGTTTAAGAACTGGTACAAAATGCTGGGCACCGTGGTTCACGCTTGTAGTCCCAGCACTTTGGGAGGCCGAGGCAAGCAGATCACATGAGGCTAGGAGTTCAAGACCAGCCTGGCCAACATGGCAAAACCCCGTTTCTACTAAAAATACAAAATTTAGCCAGGTGTGGTGGTGCATGCCTGTAGTCCCAGCTACTCAGGAGGCTGAGGCACAAGAATCACTTGAACCCAGGAGTCAGAGGTTGTAGTGAGCTGAGATCACGCCACTGCACTCCAGCCTGGGTGACAGAGCAAGACCCTGTCTCAAAACAAAAACAAAAACAACCAACTGTTAAAAAAATAATAATAACATCCTAGAAGTTTGTCAGGAATCATTGATAAACTCACTGTGGCTTGCAAGATCTACCTCTCCACCTTTTTTTTTTTTTTTTTTCTTAATTCTAGATTACTTTTGTCTGCCACAGTTTTCTGGCAACTGGCTTTATTTTCCTGGGTGTATCGGTTTAGATGTGGTATGCTGTCCAACTTGGTGCACTGAACGTTCTGACTTGGACCTGGATAGTGATAGTCCTTTAGAATCATCTCAGGGCTCTTCTCTCTCATCAGCCTCAGCCTTTAGCTTCTTCTTAACCATGTCTTTCCTTTTTCTGTTTAAGGAAACCTCATTTTTTTAGCCATTCAGCCAATATATATTGACTGCCAATTGTATGCAAGACACCATACCCAGCTCTGACTCATTCTCATGGATGAAATGCGAACAAAAGAATCCTGTAGTTCTCTTATTTTTGTATTGGATTGACTTTTTCATGAAAAATTACCTGACTTGTAGGGATGGGTAAGGAAGGTAGAGTAGAACAAGAGCTGTAATTCCCTTTCCCTCGAGTGTGTCTAGGCAAATTCACAGGAAGGTCACAAGCTCAGGAAAGTTGGACAGTCCTTCACTATTATAGTAGACTATGGAGTCAGTGCTAAGTCCAAGAAGTTCACTAAATTTCTAATGGATATTTCTGTGGCCCTTGGCCTGCAGTTAGTACTGAAGAAAGGTATAGTTTGTGGCTTTGGAAAGACCTCTCTAACCTCCGATGATACATTCCTTTTCTTCTATATTAGTATTGTTGTGAATATCAAGAGATAAAATATGTGATGTGTGGATTGTAAAGTGCTCTACAGTTGTAATTGCTTATTAGTTTCATTTATGTATAATTCAGCATGTTCTTACTGAATGTCAGGCACTCTGCCAGCTGCTGGGATTATATAAATGATTATACATAGTCTAGCCCCTCAACAGTGCTCCCAGTCATTTACAGAGACAAGCCTGTAAACAAGGAATCACAATGCAGAGTGATAAATGCAGTGGTAGCTGCACAAATATGTAGGCAGCACTGATGTAAGTAGTGGTGAGCTCCACCTGAGAAGTGAGCAGACTGGTGTCTGGGAAGTGTCACAGGGTAAGTGACCTTGAATTGGGTCTTAAGGATGAGTTGGAGATTGCCAGGAAGGCTAAGAGGGATGGACCTTCCAGACAGAGGGAACAGTGTATGCAGAGGCATTGGGTGGGGGTTAGGGAATGACAGCAGATGGAATCATCTGCTGCAGGATTGAGGAGAACAACAAGAAATAAGGCCAGAGAGTGAAGAAGGTTACACATGGGAAGGACCTTGTAAGGCAGTTCTAGGGAGCTCATTCTCTATTCTGAAGGCCAAAGGATTTTAAGCAGGACAATGTCGAATTCACACTTGCATTTTAGATGGACCATTCTGACAGGGTAGAGGAGGAATTGGAGGGGAAAGATTATCAATGGTTCTTGACTTTTTAGGGATAATGGACTCCTTTGGGAATGTGATAAGAAGCTATGCTCCTGTCCTCCAAAAATACATTTAAAATATCTGGAGATTCCTAAAGGTGATCTTTGGGAATACAGTAAATAGATGTTAGCAGAATATTAGAAGATTGAGTACTCAGTGGATTGTGAGAATTGATGGAAAAGGAGGTATGCATGGTGATACCTCAGTTTCTAGTTTGAGTGAATAGTTAGATATGTGGGTCTGGAGAGCTCAAAGGAGTAGTTTGGCAGGAGACAGGGATTTAGGAGTATTTTCCATTTGCTTGGGAGTTAAAACAATGGATGTGACCGAAATTGCCCAATGAAAGTATTTAAAGTGAGGGAGTGGTAGGAGAACAAGTCCTTTACTCAGGATACCAGCATTTAAGGTGTGAGCAGGAAAGAGGATCCAGGCAAGAAAACTAAAAGGTATCAAAGATGCTTTGTGTCCGTTTTACCTGCTGAGAACAGACACAGCCTAGGGAGGAAAGAAACTTCTTTGCCATCCTTGCTGAGACTTTGTCATTGGTTATGCCATTCCTAGTTTCACTCTTCTCCTGTGTCATGTGAGCATTGCTCTTTAGCAAGAAGCCTACTCAGCTGGGTCCACTTTTGTCAACGTTGGTGTTTCTGGGTAGAGGGCAGTCTTACTGGTTCAGGTAGCCCAAGGGTGCTTGGTATGGAAATCTTGTTGGCCCGATTGTTCTTTCCTTTCTCTCCAGCCCTCAGAGTGCCATCTTCAGAGGCACATTGGTGTCCTAGAGAAAGTTTGGGCTTCAGTACCAGATATCTGAATGATTCATCTAAGCTCTGTTACTCACTAGATATGTGATCTTGAGTAAATGACTTAAAGTCTCTGAATTTCAGTTTTCTCATCTGTAACGTAGTAATAACAATACCCATCTTATAGGGTTGTTAGGATGATTAGAGATAATCATATATATATTTAAAGCACGGTGACATTTAATGCCAGAATTTCTCTATGGAGATGGGTTTTGGCAAAGTGTAAAGCAGGAAGCCTGCCTGGGAGGTATTGAGCAACTCACCACTCAAGGGGTGCTAACAGCTGAGATATCTGCCCATCATGGATTCTGTAAAGGGGATTCTTGCCATGGGTCATTGGATTATCTGGCCTCCAGTGCCCCTGTCTGCCGTGTGATTTCTAATGTTCTTAAAGCTCTAGGCTTACTATCAGAGCAAGTAATGTTCTTTTGTTTTGTTTTGTTTTTTTGTTTTTGAGACAGAGTTTCGCTCTTACTGCCCAGACTAGAGTGCAATGGCACGATCTTGGCTCATTGTAACCTCTGCCTCCTGGGTTCAAGTGATTCTCCTGCCTCAGCCTCCCAAGTAGCTGGGATTATAGGTACCACCACCATGCCTGGCTAATTTTTATTTTTATTTTTATTTTACTAGTATCTTTAGTAGAGATGGAGTTTCACCATGTTGGCCAGGCTGGATTCTAACTCCAGACCTCAGGTGATCCACCCGCCTCGGCCTCCCAAAGTGCTGGGATTACAGGCGTAAGCCACTGCACCCAACGTAATATTCTTAAAAGAAGTGGAATTTGAGTTGGGCTTTGGAGGATGAAAATGATGGGGAAGAAGAAAAAAGCAGAGGGCGTGGCTTAGAATGTCTGTGAGATGAAATAAATGTGGAGAGAAGTATGAGGATCATAGCTGTTCCTCTGCCAACCTATTCCCTGATCTCGACCACATTCCATTCAGTGCCTTGAGCCCTACCCATGCCCACTCCAGGAGTGTTCCACTTGTGGCTGGCTGATGGGTGGGGGCCCTAATCCTCAGATGGAGGAGGTAATAAATTAGTGGTAACAGTAAACAAGTCACCCAGCCCGGGATGCCGCTGGCTGCTTATAAGTAACTGTTATAAACATTGGGTGTCTGGGGCTGTCAGAAATGCAAGCAAGCATTTTGAGTGCCTCTCATATGTACAATTAAAACAATAAAACACGGCAGAAACGCAGCCAGAGCGGGCTATAAATCAGCTTCTCTTCTCAGCTCCAAGTGGCAGCTGAATAAAGATGAGTGGGGCAGAAGCTGGGTTGGCATAGGGCCCTTCTGGGGGTAGAGGACTTGGACCAACCCCACCAGCCTGAGTGCCCCGTTCCCACAGCTCCAGGGTCTGCAGGGCCTGGCCTGCTCCAGCTGACCTCCCCATCTCTGTGTCTTCAGATGGGCGACAGGACGGTGCAAGCCGGCACATCACAAACCAGTGGACAAGTGCCCTGGAGTTCAGGAGATGGCTAGGACTCCCTGCTGGCGGTAATGGAACTGCTCTGTATAATATTTCTCCCCCTCCCCAGTACATGCCAAGGATGGTCTCATCTGACTATCTTTTTTACTCAGTATAAGTTAACTACCCAGCACCCACTGTGTGCCTAGCCTAACCCAAGCATAGCAGAGAGAATGCATGCCCTTGGAGAGCAAAAACTCAGCTGAGAACAATAAGGCTCCCAAGGAAATAAGAATCCCCTAGAGAGCTTGTTAACACAGGTTCCTGGACCCTACCCTCAGATTCTGATTGAGTATGTCTGGGGTGGGACCCGAGGTTTTGCATTTCTAATAGGCTCCGACCCTTTGGAAAGCATGATCTAGACTACAGGTATTAGTTGTGGTCTTGTGCTTGAACTGCTTAAAAAACTCATCTGGGCCTTCACCTCCCTACTAGAGATCTTATTTTGCCACTTTAAGCTTCACTCCTAGAGAGGCTGTGTGTTTAAGCTATGGTATTATGTGTGTGCAGAACACTAAATAGCTCTGACACCTGGAGCGATTTTCTATACCTGCCAGAGGCACTGTCTCCTTATTTGTAAAAGAAAGGTTATTGGGAGAGTTAGAGGTAGTATGGTACATTTACCCCTAACCTAAACCCTAGAACATAGAAGAAATTCTGTGAATGTAAACCTCTGTTTCTACATCCTCCTCCTCATTATACTCTTAACGGAATGTCAGTCTTTGACACAGCCTTCCAAACGCTTTTCTCTGGTAGCAAACTATTACCCTCAAAGAGCCAAATAGTATTTAGAGTCCAAGGAATGGCTTAGCCATTACCTAATTGTGTGACCTTGGCAATTCTTTTTTGCTCTCTGAGCTTGATTTTCTCATCTGTAGAGAATAATATTTCCTACACCATAGGCTTATTGTAAGGCCCAAATTGGAGGACTTATGAAAGCGCTTGAGAAAATACAAGGCATTGTGCAAATATAAGGTGCTTGCAAGAACAGTAATTAGTAATAATAAAGACTTAAGACATTACCAAGACAATATTTGACAAAGGGTCCAGTCAGAGGTACAGATAGCAAGGACCATAAGAGCTTAGAGAAGAGAATCTCTGGCTGAAGAAGTCAAGGAAATAAAATGACATTTGAGCCTCAAAGTATCGGAAGGTTTTGGACAGCTGTATGGAGGGTTGACAGGTGGGTGCAATTGAATGTGAGTAGAGAAGGGGTGTGCTATGTTCAAAACATACAGAGTGGTCGAGTGTGGTGGCTCATGCCTGTAATCCCAAGACTTTGGGAGGCTGAAGCAGAAGGATTGCTTGAACCCAGGAGTTCAAGACCAGCCTGGGCAACATTGTGAAACCCCGTCTCTACACAACTTTTATTTTATTTTATTTATTTATTTATTTTTATTTTATTTTTGAGACAGAGTCTTGCTGTGCCGCCCAGGCTGGAGTACAATGGCATGATCTCAGCTCACTGCAACCTCCACCTCCTGGGTTCAAGCAGTTCCCATGCCTCAACCTCCTGAGTAGTTGGGATTACAGGCATGTGCCACCATGCCCGGCAACTTTTTTGTGTTTTAGTAGAGATGGGGTTTCACCATGTTGCCCAGGCTGGTCTTAAACTCCTGAGCTCAGGCGATCTGCCTGCCTCGGCCTCCGAAAGTGTCAGGATTAGTAATGAGCCACCACGCCCTGCCCAATATTTTTTTTTAATTAGCCAGGTATGTGCCTGTGGTCCCAACTACTCAGGAGGCTGAGACAGGAGGATTGCCTGAGCCCAGGAGATCAAGGCTGTAGTAAGCCATGGTCACGCCACTGCACTCCAGCCTGGGTGATAGAGCAAAACCCTGTCTCAAAAAACAAAAAACCACTCAGATATGAGAAACAGAAAAATTATGTTTCACGCTGGTAGGTGAACATGTTAGGGTGAAGCATGCACACAGCAGAAGATTCATCTTAGAGAGTGATGAGCAATAAAGATGCAACATTAGTAGAGTAGGGCCAGATCAAGACTCTTGGACATTATCCTTTAGACAGAGAAGAGCCTTGAAGGTCCTAAAGGAGAGGGCACTGCAGAAATTGATGCCTTTCAGGATAGAGAAACAGAGGGAGGTGATAATGAGATGACGATGGTGATAGCTGCAAGGGTAGCAGATAATATTGATTGATACTTACTTTGTATTCACAGTAACCCTATAATATAGGTAGTAACCCTATAATAAAGGAAACTGAGGCAGAGGCTGTCAAATGCCAGCAGAACTATCTCCTGCTCTTATATAAGACCCAACAACCATATCAGCCTGCATGTGCCCACAGCTTAGTCAGCTCAGATCTCTGGCTTGTCCAAAGGCTTGGGAATCTGCCAGGCCAAAAGCTGTGTGGGCAATTTATTATTTTTAATAATGTCACAGCCCCTTCCTCATCCTTGTCCAGGCTCACTCAGAGCCTTGTCACACTCCGTGGCCAATGTTTCTACATGTCATTTCTCCATAGTTCTGGTTCTGGCCACCATAGAGTTACCAGGATACATTTTGGCCAACTGCATGATTAAATGAATCAGCCAGTTAGGTTGATTATTTCCATCCTTTTAGCCCTCCAAACTCTGTGTGTGTGTGTGTGTGTGTGTGTGTGTGTGTGTGTGTGTGTGTGTGTGTATCTGTCTGTGTCCTAGGAGAGAGAGATAGACTAGTTGACATGTTTTATTAAACAGAATAAATTTGATGCATTTATAAAAATAAGAAAAAACAGAATTGGGTGGCAAAGAACTAGTCTTATGATTTTTAACCGATTTACATATTTTGTGTATAAATATTTTTTCATCAAAAGTTCCAAATCAGGGATGGGTCCCACACACCACACAAAATATATTAGAGACATTTATATGGATAGCAGGAAGGGAGACAGAGGGCTGAAATTTTCCAGGCACCTAGTGATTGATAGGGGCTGAGGCTCCCCCTGACGCTTTATTGAGTTTCCGATGATTATCTCTCGCTGAGACATTTTTTACAGATGACGGTCGAGCTGTCACAATGGACCATGGGGGAAAAAAACCCAACAATAATAACACTTTAATCTTTTTACTGCACTGCTCCCTAGTATCTCAGATTCATCTTCCCTGACGCACGCAGTTCATTATTCTGCCCCTCCCTGGATGGGAAATAAAGGAAAATATATATATATGTAGACACACTTACCCACATACATACACACACAGACTATATAAAAGAGACCACCTCAGAACCAGAGAGGGGCAGAATTTATTGTTCTTTTTGCAAGTATTGAGGTTTATTAGTAGAGATGCTGGGTTGGCTTGGAATTGGCTATTAATTACAGCATTTTGTATTTGTTTTTTATTGCGAGTTTTTAACATCTTGAAGAAAAGGCAGAGGAGAGGCAAGCAGGTGTAGAGATGGGGAACACAGAGGAACCAAGTTTGACCAACCGAGTAACATATCTGCCGAGAGGCAAAGAGCCGCCACCTTCTTCTTGTTGCCAGCCCTGCCCCAGAGAATCTGTGGAGCTCAAAGAATGCTGCTTTGGATAGGATGGGGGTGGGAGAGGAGGGGGAAGAGGGTGACCTCAGGGTACTTATAGGACAAATCTAAGGGAATCCAGATACTTGTGAGCATGTCACTACTCTGAGAGTTAGGAGAGGTAGGAAGTAGAGAAGGTTAAAACAGAGTTTTGATGGGTCTGTAGATAACCGAGTAACAGATTCTTAAGTTTGCCCCACCTTATGAATTTGGTGATGTGAAGGTGAGATGTGGGCTCTGGAAAGCACTCCCTGGGTCTGCACTAAAAAGAAGGGTCCTGAGCCAGAGAGGATGCTGCACTGACTGTCATGGCCACAGGCAGGGATAATAGCCTGTCTTCTTCAAGTTCCTTGCCATCCTTCCTGGTCTACACCTTCCCTTTCATGGAGGTGAGAGAAAATGGGTTTGGGGTCTCTGTGGGAAGGCTGCCCTTGAGGTGTCTCCAGTGGAATAAGTATTGTTGACCCAGTCTTTAATTCATCAGCTCTATTCTGAGCCCCGATGCTACACTAGAATGGGTTGACAATGAGGTGAGGTCCTATTCCTAAGGAGAAAACTTCCAGTCCATGGGCAGAAACCATGTCTGTGAGAATCATTTTCAAGTAGGGGATAGTCCTCCAGCCATCGGCCAGCCTAGGTGACCATGAGTGCCTTCTCTATATAAAGGATAAAGACATGTTGAAGACACAGTGTGTGTCCATCAGGAACCTGTTTCCTGCCTGGGGAGACAAGCTTAACATCCGTTTACTAAAGTGTTTGTTAAGCAACCTGCCATGCTTAACAGAATACACATGAAACAATCTGAGAACACACAAGACTATGTAAAAGGAAATGTTGACTAATTTGATGTAAACAGAAGGCATAGAGGAAAGGGAGATCAGTGAAAATCAAGATGCTTGAATTGTAAAGTGTGGGTAAAATGTACATAAATAAGAGAAAGCATAATAAAGCCATGTAATCACTTAGAGAAAAAGAGTTATAAGCCTTGGAGTTGAACTTTCCAGCTCAGTCAGTGACTGCCAGTGTGACTTTATAAGATACAAAACTTCTCCAAGTGCCAGTTTCTTCATTTATTGTATAGGAATAATAATGTAACAGCCTAGTAGGGTTCTTGTGAGAATAGTCATAAAGTTCCTGGCACAGTACCTGGGCACATAGTGAGTGTTCAATAAATGGAACCATTATTTTCTTACTGTTCTGTTGTATATTTACTTATCTGAGTATTGGAGGAAGACTCTTAGTTGTGGGATGTTAGCCTTCAGGACTCACCTGTGACTCTCCACTAGTATGAAATGGGCCGCACTAGTATGGAATGAGCCTGAAAGATTCTACAGTGTTAGTGTTAGAGGTGATTCTGGCCAGTATTGGAATGACATCAGGAAGAGGAAAGGATACAATAATAAATTTATTACCATTTATTGAGTCCTTACTACATGCCAGGCAATATGCTCATCTTCTTACATATATTTTTTAACCTAACAGCTTTATTAAGATTTAATTTACAT